GATGGAGAATTGGAGATGCTTGAGGACCTACCTAGCTATATAGATGATCGACCTCAGAATCTAATTTAAGATATTTGGGAAATTAGGTGCTAAACAAAGACCGAGACGAGTTGGTTTTGAATTGCAGGCCCCCTGTGATTAGGAAGATATTGTACTCTAAGATAGAAAATCCTATTAATCAAAAAGGGATTTGCTTGCTCTAGTCAAGCCCACAGCTCCACTACTTGAATTTCCCGCCACAATGTTATGGTGTATACACTTGAGCTGTGTGGCTAAGTGTGGCTTGGAACTTGGAAATACCAGATTGATAAACTAATGAGTAGTTTAATTAAAATAATACTACTTGTGTTCGTGCGTGCGCTTTCTCTTGATGTGGCAATGTGGCATTGAGTTTAAAAACCTATTTTTATTGAACAACTATTTTTTATGAATTTTGTCTAATGATTAGATGTCGGAATTAACTTCCCTTAGGAGAAGTTCCTCCTCAAGATGTCTTATTACCGGTTTATGAAATTTCGTTCTTATAATCGAAATTATTCATATTGTAAACCATTCTGTAAAAATTATTTATATGTAAAAAATAATTAAAAATGAGAGTGTTTAGTCATAAAACTGTATAAAAGCAAATGGTCGGATACGGTAAAAGTATTACAAACCGTTTGTCTATTTGTTACAATTGATTGACTATATGACATTATTTTAAATTAATTTTTTTTACTGAGATAGTCTTTACAAAGTCATTTATAATATGAAACATAAAAACAAGATTCCATAAATCGCTAACGAAGCATTGAGGACGAAATCCTCCTCTCCTCAAACTTAAGGAGCATAAGTTTTCCTCTTAGATGCCACTAAATTAGATAATACGTTCATTTTTTTTGGTGGGATTATTTATGTGGAACAAATGACACAGTCAAACTCGCAGCTTTGTTGTAATACATGGGCATGCATTTTGGGCTAACATCTTCCGTTTATGAGGTCAAAGCATGGGAGGCAGATTGTTTGCCCTCCCACTTCCCATGCCCTCCTGTTTGTGTGATTACGGTTAAATCACGTCAATATTTTATATTACTATTCATTTTTTTCTTATTATCTCTATAAAAAAACAATATCATTTTAACGTGGCTTAACCGTAACCATACAAAACAGGAGCGCACAAGAGGACACAGTAAGTGGGAGGGTACATAATCTGGCTCCCAAAACATGAATAGGTTTCAAGCGATTCTAGGGTTTGAGGTAGCTAAATAAACAGTTTTAACTGTTATTATGATTATCATTTAATATTAAACTTTGAGGTTTCTCTCATATATCCCCAATACTCCGCATTTCTATGTTTTAGGATTATTGTTTAAATTTCCTTTGCTTGTTTCGTTCCGTATAAAAGCCTTATTGATTTGAAAGAACTTATCCATGTTTTGTTGCTGACAAAATGAATTTAGGAAGTTGGTCCTGATCATCACAAAACATTCAGAAACAAGTGTGATCATATAAGCAAAACCTGCAAAGGGCTAAAGGGGACCTGAGTATTAAGCACCCTCTGTCATATATAATTAAGAATGGGGGTCTATCTCGCTCTAGCTTCTTTCAATAAAGATGGTGTTTTTTTCAGAGAGGAGTTTTGCTCACCTAACTGGGAGGACCTCCTTCTGCCTCTTGACTTGACATCACCTTCCACTACTCTTTCATTCTTTCTGATCCTTCCCCCCAAACCCACACTAATACATGTGTTTGCTTTTCTGAGGAAACCAAATCAAGAAATATGGCAGGAAAAAAAAGAAGAAACTGCAATCTCTATATGGTCAAAAGGTTTCCAATGGAGCAGTAGTAACCCTAGCTTCATGATCAGTTCCCCTTTGTGACTCGAGGTCGGTCCATTTTTCTCCTTTTCTTTTTCTCTGCCCGAGCACGTAGGGATATGACATGGTGTTATAATATGGATGAAAAATATTGTTATAATACTATTCTATTTTCCTTTTGTATTTCATATCTCATTAACGTGTTATAATATGTATGAATAATATTATTAATATGTCTCTAGAATATATTAATAAAAATTTAAATATACATATTATAATTTAAATAAACTAATAACATAACGTAGAAGTATTTCAAGTATATACAAACTTAAATAAATCGAACTTACAAAATGTGTTAGCCGTCCTACAAAACCCTACTAGGAGTACTATCGATTATTTTTCTTGAAAGATTAGATCAGGAAGGGTCGATTATAATTACTAGGGACCATAATGTGTTTGGTAGCCATGGATTAGGACCTCAATTGGTAGACCAACGACATTGAGTGAAGAGTGATGCACACCTCCAATCCACTATCACAATATTTCAAATTGAAAATCCTTTGTCATGTTCTCACTTACAGTATATTTTTTAAAGCTACATTAACAACACTTTTTCAAAAGAATTGTTTTACTTAATGACAAAAATGCTTACATATATATTGCTTGTCATGTGATTCGCATATTTCTGGCTTAGTCGGCATGGCATGTCCATATGCTCGTGCACCTTGGTTACGTATGTTTTAAATACGATACATGCATGGATGCTAGTCTAATTGATGCTGGCATGCATATGGGTGGCGATCTCGTCCAAAACATAAGGTTTAATTAGGGCTAGCCACTGAGGATTAATCCTTGAACATATTAGAGAAACTTCAGAGAAGGTCTCCAAAGATCGTACTTCCTCAACCCCACTCGATTCGTGTCACTATTATTCCTGGTGGATGAGGGAATATTAAAAGTTGAGGTAAAGATGCTGGTGGTCACTGCTGACAGGCAAGTTCAAACAAGGAAGGGGATTGTAGGACTAAACTCTAAGTACGGCTGCTGGTTGTGTTGGATGATTGCTCACTTTTCACCGTGTCAACTTTTTATGAGTTTTTGTCAGAGCCTGTGAAATTTCATAGCTGCTCCCACATACACATATGTAATTGACAGGCCAGTTGGTTTATTTGATTGAGGATTTAAAAAGTATTTTTAACTGAAGATTATGTCTGTGTAAATCAATGATTCCTTACAAAGTTCCCATTGGGCCCCCATGGGGCACTAACCGAGTCACAAAATCAAGTTGCAAGCTCATGTTTGATGTCTCTTTTATTCACCCAATAACTATGAAGATTGCAGAGATGGACTTTTGGTTCTCATTGTCTTTGAAATCAAAACCAATTAAGCATCTATTGAGCCAGTCAGGGGATCAAATTTAGTACAAATTTTAGAGTTTCACCGTTGCATAGCCACTAGATGTTACTAATTCACGTGTTATAATATGAGTGGACAACAAAATTAACATATTAAAGAACTAAGACGTAACATTAGTGAACAAAGTGTCACATGCTCTTCATACATTTTTGGGGTCTATAGAAAGAAGAAAACAAGTAAGAAAAACGAAAACATATATACCACAGAAAATATGAGGCAAACAAAAGCAAACGTCCCCCCACAGCCAAAGGCTATAAAATGCATGTGAACTATGAGATATTGACATCCAGTCCGTGTTTATGAACAGACTATTCGGTCTCCACTTACCAGCAATGCGTAGGCCATGCATGTCAACAAGCAGCCAACTCAAAGCTAACTTTGAACCAAGTGCATGTTTACCAGAAGTGAAAATCACAAGTTAATCATGCTGTAATCAGCTGTACTTAATTAACTGCTATGATTTAACTTATCTCAACGGCTCAAAATCTGAATAGCACGTCTACTACTTGATCCTGTGATAAAAGAAGAGCAACTTTCATGAACCAGGTGGGAAAGGCGACGAACGTGTTTCATATAGAATTCATTCTTGTGATCAATATTGGATATATATGTTATAGTTTATATAATATATATCTGAGAGTTGAGAGTAAAGAAGCTTTATTTTTTATATATAAAAGAAGTTAAAACGAGAAAAAATAAATATTGAAGTGATAGGACGTGAAACCTAATGACTATAAATGGTGACCCATCAACAGTTTAAAATTAGCCGAAGATAAATGATATTGGGGCCATTTTTCTGCTTCTGCGTTTTCATTTGCAGACAATTAATGGCCAATGGCTCAGGCTGTGTATATAAAAACCACAGTAGCACCTCCACGCCTGTATTTGGGTGGGCCAGGACAAAAATTAAAGTCCCACATACCGGGCCTTGCCACGATTCAAAGGCCCATAACTGGCCTGGATGCTCCAAGCTACCTAACAATTTGGATTTTTTTTTCAATTTTTCTTGATTTTTCTGTTTGCAGGTCTCAAAGAATAACAGGTATTAAATCACTAGCCCCTATCAATCGTAGATCAACATTTGTCACATACCATGAATATGTAACAAATGTTTATGTGAATTTACGATTGAACAGGAGTTTATGTGAACTTATCCCTATCTACATGCATGTGATGTTTTCATCATATGAGAAAATAAAGTGTGCCGCTTCTAAATAATATTGTGAAGGAAATAATTTTCACACAACGATCATTATCATATGAGAGTGAAAATCATATCGGGTGTGGGATTGGGCCACATATTGGGCCTAAGTTTAACGTTGCATCGTGGCCCATTTTCAGTCCATTACCAAATAGGGTGATTATATGAAAAACCCTAAAATTTTATCTAGACACCTTATAATTGCCTATAGACCACCATACAAGGTTAACTCACACTGACACTGTCACTGGTAGACGTGGTTGCAGCAATATTAGCTAGAACAAATATGCTCCTCACTTGAATTCGAATTCTCCTTATCGATTGCAGTTGAGACTCGTTAAAAGTAAAATACCGCTGGTATAAAAAACTTGTATTACACTGAAGTTAGGCCCAAAGATTCCTACACAACCAAAATACATTTCCATTCAAATTTAATAGTTTATTTTTATTTTTTAAGAAAACATGGGAAATCATTCAATTTCGAAGACACCGGTTCAAGTATTGTACCTTTACTAATTGGAGAAAGAGATAATTTAGATTCTTAATAGTATAGTAATCTCAATCTTCAAAGTCCGAGAACTAGTTAATTATCTACAAAAATTGATTTAGCATACCTCTGAGAATTCTTATACAAGAAAAAAAAACACCATCAATGTTTTTGCATGAAATTAAACCTTGTAATAATTAAATTAAATTAAAAGCCTTTGGTTCCCGTTTCCTTCAATACGGCCGGCTTTTCCGCCAAAGAGAGGCAATACTTGGCAATCTCTCTGAACTTGGGCACACTCCTCAGATCAACCTTGGTGCCGTCTTTGAGGGTGATGATAATATCACCCCATTCGCCGATGAATCGCGGCACCACCTGGACATCCTTGATCACCTTGTACGAGAAGTCGCTCCTGTCCTGACCTGTCAGTCCCGAGATTACCGTCACACGCAGGTTGGTGAACCTGTACCTCAAAAAGAAGGCCCTGAAGACCGCAGCTAAAGTCAAGGGCAGCCACAGAAGAGTGAAACCCAGGATAAGGTTGGCCAGGAGGTCGCCATAGTGAGCTCCGCCGTCGAAGTAGATGGTCTCCGTCGTGGGTTTCTTGGAGGTGGAGGTGGATGTGGCGGTGGTGTTGCTGGGTTTGTTTGTTGGGGTGGACACGTTAAGTCTGGTAAGTGGTCTGTTGGAATTGAGAGTGCTGGGTTTGGTGAGGGAGTTGGGAAAGGGTAATTTACAGAAGTGTAGAGATTGGTGGTGGTGGTGGACTAAGGAGGAAGTGGTGGTGGTTGTGGTGGGGGAGAGGATTGGGGTGGCGGCCATTGGGCTATCAGTTACAAGTTAGAAAATTTGCGAGAGAAGATAGAGAGAAAGGGAAGGAGTGTCGCATAAGGATTGGGTTGGTAGCTGAAATTGTGTGTTCCATATTTCCCTGGGTTTCTATTGGCCACAGTTGAGACAGCTTTGACATCATTTTATTGGACAAAAGTTAAAACTACAATCGTTTATTTTTTTTGTTATCATTTAAAAATCTTATTTATGCTAAAAAAAAAAATTATTCAATTTAGAAACCATTTAATCACTTATATAAAATAAAATATTAATATTTTGTTGAAGTTAAATGTGTATTGTACACATAAGTATTAAACAATAACTTCGAAGTAAAAGTTCAGTTTAATTGACTAAATTTAAACTATGCCCTTCCACGAACATATTAACCGTTAAAATTTCAAAATTTTACCGTCTAAATTTTAATACCAACACGAAAACTCACCCGAATATAAGACCCTATGTGTCACAATTAAAACCGTCACATCCCGCCCCGGACCCCCACCACATCCCGGATTCGACTCCAACGTAGCATGATATTGTCCCATATGGGCCCTGACCACGCCCTCACGGTTTTGTTTCTGGGAACTCACACGAGAACTTCTCAGTGGGTCACTCAACTTGGGATTGCTCTCGTGCGAACTCGCTTAACTTCAGAATTCCGATGGAACCCGAAGCCAGTGAGTCTCCAAAAGGCCTCATGTTAAGTAGAAATGAGAATATACATATAAGGCTTACAAGATCCTCACCCCTGGGCGATGTATGATCTTACAATCCACCCCCTTAGAGGCCCGATGTTCTCGTCGGCACACATCCGGCCAGGGATTGGCTCTGATACCAAATTGTCACATCCCGGCCCGGGCCCCCACCACATCCCAGGCTCGACTCCACCGTAGTATGATATTGTTCGCTTTGGGCCTCGACCACACCCTCACGATTTTGTTTCTGGACACTCACACGAGAACTTCCCAGTGGGTCACCCAACCTGGGATTGCTCTCGTGCGAACTCGCTTAACTTCGGAGTTCCAATGGAACCTGAAGCTAGTGAGTTCCCAAAAGGCCTTGTGCTAGGTAGAGATACGAATATACATATAAGGCTTACAGGATCCTCACCCATAGGCAATGTGGGATCTTACAAAAACACAATAAATACTACTCAAATTATATTACATTTATTATATATTATTGTTTTTATGTTGTTCTACGTCTTTATTGGTCTTGTTCTCCTAAAAAGGTTTTAGTCTCTCACTTTTTGGTCTTAATTCAACAGTAAGAGTTCATTTAATTTTTGTTATTGTACTAGTAAGAAAGTATTTTCTCTTCCACCGTTGAATTAAAACGGTGAATAACTACAATTTACTTTGGACTATGAGATATAAAATAACGAGAATCATATTTATCAACCATAGATTGACGCACACAAACAAGACACGTGCTTTTTGTAGCCTTATTTGGGCTCGTCCGAAAATTAAAAAATTAAAAATTAAAAATACAGTTGGACCAAACTTGAATACAAATTCGACGACAAACGGGCAAAAGCCCAAACTTGTATAACATCACGGTACTAGACTTAGGCCCAAACCTAATTTTCTTGCTCGGAAGCAACATATGAATCATATGTTGAATGTATACTTCACTTTTGTCTCTCTTTAATTTTTCAATTTGTTGATTTTTCAAATGGCTAGGATCAACTTCGAGATAAGATAAAAATGATTGTTCCATGTGGAATGGTAATACGTAGTCCTCCCAGAAATTAGAATATTTAAGTCGTCTTCCAAAAAAGTCACTGCAAAAATATTATGTTACCCGTTGACAGAGCTTCAAATCCATGGTAAATCTCAACATAAATGGATACACAAAGCATTTCCAAACATATTTTAAAACGCAATAATGCATAATTCTTTTTGAATATATATAACCCTGCACATGTTTTGATCTCAAAAATGGCAAACATGCTTCTGGGTTGCTCTTATTCTCTTCTGATAACAAATATTTAGCTTAACACATGGAGAAAATTTGATTATTAATTGGTCCTTGAATTTTCATTCAATATCCAATTAAGCTTTGCCTTAAACTAAATGTTGTTATTATATATATATATAAATGATAGCATTAGTGGAGATCGAATATGCATCAGGGTAGATAGGCACTATTGTTTTCTGCCTATGGTAAAGCGTCATCTGCTGCCTTGAACTAAATATTGAGTATAGGTTATTCAACTTGTCACAGTGAGAAATAATGATCATTTTGGGTAACTACATTAAAATTTTCGTCTCTTATTTGATTATTTAAAATATTTATTTCAGACAGAGAGTTTTATCAATGTTATCCAAAATGGTTGTTGCTTCACAAAATAAAGAGTTCAATAAATACTACCCACAAATTTTTAATTTAAAATCCAAAGCTCTAATTAAACTGAAGTTCAAGGACAATACTCTAATATTCTCAAACAAATAAATTATTTGGTTTAGTATATTTATGTAGTTGAGGTGTGAATGTGAAGCCACAAGGGCACGTGGCCACTTAGCGAGTTTTTGTTAACTGGAATTGTTAATTTTGCCACTAACAATATTTTTATGTGTAATATAAGTTGGCATCTCAAAGTGTCTGCAAAATGCCGAAGTTTCCAGCCATGGCGGCCAAAAATTATTTATGGCTTCATCACATGATCCCACGAATTACAAATTTTAAAAAATACAAATAATATATTTTGCGTCAACTTATTTTGATATGCAGATATGGAGAAGGTTATGCAGATTCTGTCACATTTAATTTGTTGATTTGTCCTTTTAATTACTGGCTAGTTTTAATGAACTGGGTTACCATTAGTGGCTAATAGATCCCTTTAATTATGTTGTGACAGTTGCTAGCAACAACTGTAAAATCTACATCCTGAGAGATGCTCATGATTACATTAAGAATTTTGACGACAATCTTTATGTGTTTGATCCGAAACTTGTTCTGTTGAGCTCTGGAGTGCACTCTCGTTCTGCATGCATGCATGCAACGTAGGGTTTGACGACTTGGTCAGTCACGCTAAGCTGGTTTAAAAGTGTTGTCCGACCTAAACATCGACATGCATGCAATGTCAGGGTAAATACTAATGCACTAGTAATCTTTGTCAGTCTGGTCGGTCACGCTAAGCTGGTTTAATAGAAGGATTGTCCGGCCCTTTTTTTTTTTTTAACAGAAACGACGGAATGTTTCGTTACCAAGAACAATTAAATACAAAAAATGTTAGATAGTTATATATTTTCTAATGGTCAATCTCTTGATCGATAAGGTCAATCTTACTGTTAAAACCAATTTTAGGCATCAACGACTGCATATATAGGTCAAAGATACCGCTTTTGAGCTCAAAATATCTTGGAAAAAAGAGACAGAATTGAGGATGAGGATGAATGAATTCCTGTCACTTGAAAATAACTGTTCGAAAATGGACATGTGTTGGAACTTGGAAGTAAAGCATTACATCATGGAAAAGAAAAAGGAGATGGTAAGTTTGGGAAGGGAGATGTATTTTTCTAAAAGCAAGTTGAAAAAGGATCTTGTGGGACTTTAGAGAGTGGGTGATAGTGAGTTCACATGACACACTACTCTTTTCTTTTTTCCCTATATACTAAATTTAGGGTTTCAATGAATCGGCGTTCAAGTTTATCAATTTATATTTGTATCGTAATTGTATTAACTCGTAAATTTAATGATATGAAAGTAACAATATAATAACTCATATTATTCCTCTCAAACTTGAGAAAAGCTACAATCTTACTAGTTAGCACAATGTTAATAAAAAAATGTTAATTGTATTTTAGTCGAATTTTATATTCGTACAAAAATCGAGTCGTATAATTTATCGAAGATATCGTGTCCAAAATTGTCTTCTTAACAAAGACAGAGATAGGTGAGTGGTGAAAGAGGTGGTGGAGACACAGCATAGTTGGGTTTTTGTCCATTCCCTTCGATTGTCAGAACATTAAACTTGCCAACGTCCCCTTCACGAGTATGACCTTTTTCCAACTCTGTTTTCTTCCACTCTCTTCCATCTCCTTGTCTTCATTTCCCTCTTGGAATGTGTGCTCGATACTCTCCCCTTCTCAGTACTCTCCCTCTCTATATAAATTCAGCTTCAAGTATATTTTTTAAGCAAAAACTTAATGTAGTAGATTTTGTTCTCCGTTTTGTACTGGATTGATGAAATCAGCAAACTAATCTTTGCAAAAGGACTTTTTTTCACAGCACTTGTGAGCAAATTTTCTTTGACAGTACAATGGCATGATTCCAAAGTAAGGAAAATCTCTAGAAGTTTTATTTGGTTAATTTTTTCACTAAACTTATAGTTGTCCAATTTTATCTGATAAATTTAATATTAAGAAAATAAAAGGGACAAATAAGAATAACATTTAATGAACATGTTAATCTTTTTTGACAGAAAATTAGGGAAAAAATCGACAATATACTAAAATAATACACAAAATGACGGAGGAGAGTAATCCTTTTTTTTATTTCATGGTCCATGCTAGCTAGGAGCTGCTGCCACACTCAGTCACTAGCTACCATGCAATTCAAATTCACTTAGATATTTTTTTCATCCCATTAACTTTAACCTAGTCACCAAAAGCATGGAATATTTTAATTAAAAACTGATAGAAATTAACATGGTAATTTGGATTTTTTGCCTCTTGATTATTTCATTGCTTAATTGAACTGATGTTGTTCCAACCAAGGCCAAAACCCTGCTGCAGACTGATCGTCGATGCCACAGAACATGTTGGTCAGGCTTTCTTCTTTGACCATCTGATCGATCTTCTGGCATTGCATTGCTTCAGACCTTGATGTGTTTTGGAAGAGCTGGGCAGGCCTAATTATTGAAGACGAAAAAAGGGTTGGATTTTGATGATGGTGAGAAGATGGAGGGCTGTCGATCGCCGGCGTTCTCGAAATATCCAGTTTTATATCGGAATTGTTTTCACTTCTGTTGCTGCAGGATCCCTCTGTGTCTTTGTTGAGGTTGATGGATTCTGCTGGCTCTCTGTTTTTTAATGCCATTATCTG